TCCCGCCACTCACATCCCCCCCTTACGCTTCCCCCCACTCATACCTCCTCCCCCCACTCACACCTTCTCCAGCCCCACTCACACCTCCTCCCCCCACTCACACCTTTTCCAGCCCCACTCACACCTCCTCCAGCCCCACTCCCCTTACATCCCCCCCCGTTCCCAGTTGGAATACCATACATATACATTTCCTGGGACAGTACGGTGAGTGCTGCGGGCGATATTTCTCTCAATGGGGCGGGGGACCCAGCTCTCGTGAGTCACTCGTCCTAACAACGTGCATTTTTGTCTGAAGACGGGGGCGGGTGGTGGTCCCGTTGCTGAGACACGCGAGTTTGCAGCCAACACGTGGAAACAGCCCGTGACTCAACCCCCACAAATGCTATTAATATCCTCGTCTCAGGAATAACCTTTCATCACTGGGTACCGGGAAAGCGAGGCGATGTACAGCTTTGCCTTTCTATTACATTAACACGCTGTGCTGGTGGAGCCCTGTAAAGCTGGGAATTAAACAAACACAAGGCGGTGTTTGGATTACACCAACATTTCTGGCAAACGTGTACCTGAACTCAGAGATAGTAGGAACTGCAGATGCTGGAGAATCTGAGATAACAAGATGTAGAGGTGGATGAACACAGCTGCTTGGCCTGCTGTGTTCATCCAGCTCTACACCTTGTTACCTGAACTGAGGCCCGTGTGACTGGATCATTTCCTCTGGGTTTCTTCCAGGCCTAATATTTAATGACTCAATTGCAGATCCAGTACGTTTCTGGGCATTGACACTCCAGAGAGAATTGACTTTCTTGCCCAACCAGAAATTGCTGGAGAAACTCAGCTGGGATGGCAGCATCTGTAAAGAGAGAGAAGCAGAGTTAACATTTCACGTCCAGTGACCCTTCCTCATATTATTTTCGTTTCATTGAATACTTTCAAGGCAGAGCTAGACAGACTCTTGACAACAAGGCAGTCAATGGGTATCTGGGGTCGACAGGAAAAATGAAATTTTATTCAAGATCAGTCACTGTCTTCTCGAATGTTTGACCACACTTGAGGGGCCGACTGGTCTACTGCACCAAATTAAAACCTTTGTATTAACTTGGGTCCCCAAACATTCTGATTACTCACAATCACCCTCCCAACCATTTGTAAGCATTTTCTACAATTTTCCTGTAGTTCAACATCAATGGATTTTATACCATTAAGGGCAAGTGTTAGGCATAGAATACTTTTAAGGTTTTAGCAAAGATCTGGAGCTCGGATAGTGGGTGAGGGTGTTGACTTGCGCACCGAGCTGGCTTGTTTTTGTTCAGACGTTTCATCACCATGCTAGGTAACATTATCAGTGGAGCCTCCAATGAAGCGATGTTATTCTACTCCACTTGGAATTTATACTGTCCGGTCTGTTATGGTGAGTAGTGGCATTTTCGGTTTTGTTCTGTATAGGTTTGTATGTGGGGTCCAATTCTATATGTTTGTTGATTGTATTATAGGTGGAGAACCATGCCCCTAGGAATTCCCGTGTGTGTCTATGTTTGGCTTGGGCTACTTTGGATACGTTGTCCCAGTTAAACTGATGGCCTTCATTAAAAAAACAACACGACAAACTCTCCTTAATATCAGTACACTCGGACAATGAAGGGACAAGGTAACCATAGCAGCCCAAGCCAAACATAGACACGCACGGGAATTCCTAGGGTCATGTTTCTCAATCTATAATGCAATCAACAAACATATAGAATTGGACCCCATATACAAACCCATACAGAACAAAACCAGAAGTGACAGTACTCACCATAACAGACCGGACAGTATAAATTCCAAGCAGAGTAGAACAACATCACTTTGTCGGAGGCCTCACAGATGATGTTACCCAGCATGGTGACTAAACATCTGAACAAAAACAAGCCAGCTCGGTGAACAAGTCAACAACCGCATAGAATACAGTTTTGCTATTGCTGCATTATAGATTGCCATGTAGGATGTGGTACAAAATACACAAAGGGGTTAAGCAACATCAGAGAATTCCCTTTGAAGAGCAGTTCGTGTTGTCTTGCAGTCTCATTGATTGCCAGAGCAGTCTTGATGAGCCAAATGGTCTGTTTCTGGTCCTGGCCTTATGGACTTCAGAGAGAAAAAAGGAACTTCTACTGTAGTGACTCACTGGATGGCATGTTATATAGAGATTGAGTTAAAATGGAATTGGTGATGCCCCTTGAGGTCAAATAGCTGACCAACGCTTCAATTTACATTTTATGTAGGATGTAATGTTTAATTTGAAGCATTAACAAAAGTCTGCAATGAAATAATTTTTTTTTATTATTAGCTCATGGATGCGCAGATCATTGGCTGGGACGGCATTTGCCCTGCGCTGAGCTGCTAGACTGTAATATCTATTTAAAATTTCCTACCTTACTGTAATGTTAACCCTTTAATATTTTCCTACTTTTAACTTATTTTTCAACTCTGTAAGTAATGCAACAACTTTTATTCCTCTGCTGTATCTAAGAATTGTACCTAGGTACTTGTACCTAAGATGTTGCCATAAGAAGGCTGGCATTGTAAATGTTTTTCACTATACTCCTGCAATGGGGCACACGTGACATTAAAAGGATATTGTATTGTGTTGTAATCATCCAAAGGGCAGTTTACTGTCACATTGCTGTGGGTCAGGAGTCAAATGTAGGTGTTAAGGATTTCCCTTCTTAAAGGGCATTAGTGAACTAGATGGAAATCAACAAATTGATTGTACACAGTCACCATTTGGGCAACTGCCCATTATAAAATTTAAAAAAAATTAAATTCCACTTTCCAAATTGTTGAATCTATGTCCCCAGGACATCAGGCTGAGTCCTTGGATTGTTATTCTAGGTACATTACCATTGTGCCAGCATTTCCCAAGCATGGACCATAGTACTAAAAGAGAATGTCACTTGCACTGCTTTGGGTGACTGGAATGATTCACTTTGGTAGGAAGATCAGTTTTGAATCCACAGCTTCCCATATACTGATATCCCAGTCTCACTGCACTTCGAAGTGGGTTAAATTGGCAATGCGTTTGAACCTGAAAGAAGGGGTCAATGGCTCAGAAATTTCTGAAGAAGGGCCCAGATCCGAAACGTCAGCTTTCCTGCTCCTCTGCTGTTGCCTGGCCTGCTGTGTTCATCCAGCTCTACACCTTGTTATCTCAAGACTCCAGCATTGGCAATTCCTACTGTCTCTAGACAGAAGAATCTGTTTCCACGCTGTATGACTCTATCTCATGAATAATACTATTCTGACTGAGTTAGAGCCATAGCACAAATGTGGGAATTGCACTAATTTCTCATCAGCAGTTGAGGGAAATGATAAAGGTAATGCTCAAAATATAAATGTCACATGGAGCAGTGAGCATGGCTCTTCTGATTCTTGTAACACTAGGTGTTAAGCCTCTGCTAAAATTATGGTTCCATGTGTGCACACAGCTCTCTGGTACATTGCTTACACAGTCATTCTGCAAGGGATGATAGGAGCTAGGAGCAAGGCTAGGCCATCCAGCCCTGGGTCTGCTACACCACCGAATATAAATATAGCTGTAGCCTCAACTCCATTTTCCAGTCTGCACCCCCCTGCCCCCAAACTTTAGATACCCTTGTCTGTTAAAAATCCATCAAACTAAGCCTCGAATGAATTCAGTGACCCAGGTTCCACAGGTATTCTGGGAGGGAGAGAATTGAAAGAAATTCCCCAAATGTCTCATAATTGTGATGTTAGCACAGATGACTGAAAGCTTGGTCACAGAGCTAGGTTTTGGGAGAGTCTTAAAGGAGATGTTGAGAGGTGATTCCAGAAGTGAGTTAAAGAGCATAAAGGCTTAGGCAGCTGAAGGCACAATCTGTGATGTAAACTGGGGCTGCTTAAGAGATCAGAATCAAAGTATGTAGGGCTGGAGGAGGATAAGGACATAGGAATGGGTGAAACCATTGACCGATACAAAAACACGGAGGAGAATTTTAAAACCGAGTTCTCACCAGGCCAGGCCCAATGTGTGTCACAGAGCACGCGTGTAGTGGATAAACGGGATGAGAATATGGGCAGCAGAGTTTAGGTAAGCTCAGGTTTAGAAAAACTGCAAGGTAGGAGGTCAGCCAGGGGAGCATTGGGGTAATTGAGCCACAAGGTAATCAAGGCATGGATGAGGTTTTCTGCAGCAGAGCAGCAAGCTTTGCACAAATCTCAAATACCCAAGTTTGCAGCCAGACCCAGCTTTGTGATGTGCCCCATAAAGTGTTTTGCTGCACTTTTGTTTTGCTGCAAATGAGCCTCAAACAGTTGGCAGCAATCCCAATGGTGAAACCGTAAACATGTAAGCCTTGGCAAGGCTAAGTATAATAAAACTGCAGCTTGGTCACAGGGTGCGTGAGCTTTTATGTTAGGATTCAGGCTGGGATTTTGCAGTAATGACCAGTCATCACCAGAATTCTACAATGATACGTGACGGCCCTGAAAACCCCATCCCTGTCCACAATAAACACAAATCAGGTCAGGCAACATCTGCAGGCAAACATGTCAGGTCTCAAATGTCGATTTACTGATTTCTGTTTCTCCACTGATGCTACTTGATCTGCAAAATAATTGTGGCTTTTCCTGTTTTTGTTTCCAAACTTCCAGTATCTGCAGTGCATCTGTGTCAATGCTGATTCTCCTTTCTCTTCGGCTTAGACAAGACTAATAACAGGACACTGGTTAGGCAGGAATGACTGTAAGAAGGGCACGATACTTTTGGGTACTTTGTCGGTTGGATTGACTTCAAACCAAAAGCTTTAAAATTGATACCACAGCCAATCTGTTTGCAAGTGCACTCCCATACAAAGAAGAAAGCATTTGTGCCAAATCTTGTTCTTTGCTGTTTTTCCTGGGGCAAGTTTCATTGTTCCTGCCCTTCCTTCATAGAATGAAAGTCTATTTATGTGATTTCCAATATTCTTTTTCTGCCAATTTTTTTCTTCCTCTCTTGGCGATGTTGAGTCTTTTGTGTGAGTGGAGTTTCCAGTGACATTGGGCAATTCACTGATACCTTGCCCACAATGGCAGTGATATTAGTGCTTTAGTATTTGGTTTAACATTTAATGCTTCTGTAGTTCCGGTGCCCGAACATCAACATCAGCTCACTGGCTCCCTAACTTTATGCCACCAGACCCACAAAAGCTATTTCAAGTTTTAAGGCAAGTGGTTTTACATGTGAAAGTAAGGGTCAACTGACTCATCAATGTGGATTGGGAACCACGCTATAGGAACAGTAAGTAAAGAATCTTTACAGCAAGTGACCAAATGCTATTTGGTCACAGAAGGCACCATGGATAAGCCTGATAATATCCTCATTTGATGACCAAGGTATGAAGTTCGGCTGATTTCCTAACCTAGTAGAGTCAGACCATTGGAGAAGCACTATAGTGTTTTGAAAAATCTTGTGACTTCATGAACTAAAATGCTGGTCTGAGAGTAGCGTGGATCTTGCAGCTGCTGCTGAGATTTCAGGCTTATTTCTAGATTTACTTCTAGATTACTTACAGTTATTACATTTCAGTAGTATAACATGAATAAGAAATGTTTGGAGGGATATGGTCCAAGCTCAGGCATTTGGGATTAGTTTAGTTTAGGATTATGGTCAGCAAGGACTGGTTGGACTGAAGGGTCTGTTTCCGTGCTGTGTGACTCTATAACTCATGCTTATCTTCCTATCATCCCATTGCAGGTGGAGTAATCACTTATATTGGACCAAACAGTACCTCTTCAAGTCCAGTACTGTTGTACAGTGATAATTCCAACAGCAGTTTCCAGTCTGTGTCTCAGTCATGTTCCCCATTGCCACCATCACCTAACAGCTCTGGCTCCCAGGATGGCAAACACTACAAGAGTAACTCTTCAGGATCTGGAGAGGATTGTCCAACCATTGGGCCCTTCAGCAACCTGAAGCTTTCCACAGATGATGGGAACACCATTTCCACCACTAAAAACAGCTCTGGCATTACCAGTAAGTAATCCTGGTGTCTTTTCTTCCCTCTGCTTCATCTTATTCAGTGGAATGGCCTCTCCATTCTCTCAATTTAAAAATAACTTGTAATGTGTCCAGGCAATGACATGTTGAAGACCAGTCATTTCAATCACTATGCTCTTGCTATTTGAAGCCTTCCCAAAACCCGATGGCTTTTCTAGCTCCCTCACCTTTTCTCTAAAAGAAACCAACATCTTAAGCTGTGCTTTCAGTTTCTCTGGCCCCACATACTCTCTCAATCTCTTCTCAGTGTTGTAAAATGCTTAGAGACATCCTTTTATGTGGTGTACAGTTGTAAATTATTAATTAATTTATAAATATAAATTGCAGAAAAAAATTCAAAAAGAGAGAAACTGAACATTCATTCCCTTCATCAGAAACACTTCATCTCTCTCAGTTAAGCCTTTTGAAATTGCATTTGAAAATACTGTCTTGGAAGTAATTGTGTCTCTTGTCCAAGAGAAAAATTTCCAGATATGGGACCAGGGTCAGGGGAGAACCTGTTGGAGATCCACTATTTTCCGTCTTCCTGCTGGAAAGGAACATCCCAAATGCAGGGATAGAGCATGTTGCTATGTGTTTAACATAATGGGATCTATCCAGAATGATCCATTTTACAAATCATTTCGAGGGATCATTACCGGTGGGAGACCTGATGAAGATGTTGATTCCAACTTCTGACGAAATATAGGAAATTACCTTCCAAACATCTGTGGGCCTACTAATTTTAGCTGGAAGCCCTTTCCTGCTATCAAGGAGATGAATTAATAGGCATAACCCGAAGGCAAAGCACTTAGTGCTAATGACTGTTTCTTGAATAAATATTAATTCTTGTTTGTTATCTGATGGCTGCATTTTGACTTCAAAGGCAGTTTTGTAGATTATTTATGACAAGGATCTTCTCTTCCTTATGATCGATTACACCCCTTTCTCTGCTGACCTCTGCTGGGTGCTTTCCCAATGCTGCTGGCCTGCACCTTGCCCGAGTATTCTTTCTTAAATACACAGGCTAAACTGCAGGAATCGGCAGTCAGTCACACAGGGGTGGGAACTGCAACCTGGCAACAGATGTGCATCTTTCACATCTTCCAGTCAAGCTCCCTGTGTAGCAGTCGGGAGAAGGAATCCTGGCTTCCTTAATCTGGGAGTCATTGTGCCCGATTGTAATAACCCTACAGCAACTCCAGCTACGGTAAGCCAACAGCACAGATCAAGGACTCATTTCTGGCTCTCGTTCTTAGCCCATCTGGCGGAGTTCCATACTGTGTCAGGTCACTCAGATCACATCTTGATTGCGGGCCCCTGTTCTCTCATTGACTCTCCTTAAAGCCAGTGCTAAAGGCATTAGACACTGACAGTTCTCTAAAAATGACTGCATAATGAGCAGTTTACATTTTGAATAAATCTCTCATTGTTTCTACGTGTTTTCCTTTTTCCCAGAAATCAGTGGAATGATTCTGCTGTGTAAAGTGTGTGGCGATGTAGCCTCTGGTTTCCATTATGGTGTGCACGCTTGTGAAGGGTGTAAGGTAAGTTGTACCCACCTGTACAGCAGCGGGCCATGCCAGCATGCATCAACATATGCAACTCACACAAATACATACATATGCACAGATATCAGCATGTGGATACAGTGTCATAGAGTTTTTACAGCACTCAAAAAGGCCCTTTCCCCCCTTGTGTCTGTGCTGGTCATCAAGTGTCTATCTATTAGAATAAATAAATTGATAAATAAATTTTCCAGCACTTGACCTGCCACCTTGCATGCTATGGCTTTTCAGGCGATTGTCTAATCTTCTTTAGTCTCTTGTGTATTCCTGCTTATACCACTCTTTTAGGCATTGAGTTCCAGATACCCACTGTTATCTTGGTGAAAGAAAACAATCCTGAAGTCCCCTCTCAACCTCCTATCCCTTAATCTCAAACTGTGTCCCCTGGTTATTGAGCTGTCTACTGAGGGGAAAAGTTTCTCCCTATCTAACCATACATAATATGGTTCCTCGTGGCTCAGTTAGCAAAGATATCACATGAGATACTCTTCTGCCATTGAAAGAGTTTTCCAGTTTTCATCCCATCTCAGCTGGGGAGGATATTACCTTTTCTTGGTCCCAGCTAAAATCTGCCAGATTTCGGCTTCCTACTCATGAGCCAGGGAACCCCAGTGAGAAATGTTCACCTGGAAATGTCGGATGAGGCCAGGACCCACAAGTCACATATGATTCCCGACATAACAACAACAGCAACTTAGATTTATATAGCACTTTTAATGCAGTAGCACATTTTGCAGAGCTTAGTATAGTCACTGTTTTCAAAACGATATTAGGATTAAGGCACATATGCAGCATAAATGCAAGCATGTGAAGATGTATACATGTATGTGCATGCATTTAAGCCTGTGTAAATGTCAGATATTTGTTTGCATATCTAAATATTCTCATGTACAAGGCAGTAGAACGTTTCATTTTAATGAATGAGATGATCAGCCTGTTGGCAGGCTAAGTGGCTGAGCATAAAGAATGCAGCATTCTGGAACTCCCTTCCTAACAACTCAGCAGGTGTACCTGCAACAGATAGACTGCGGACATGGTTCAAGTTGTCCCAGCTATGTTCGGAGATTGAGAATGAAAGGAACAAAATGTCATAGGGATATAGTCCAGACTGTTAAACATGAATTACATTGCCAACTTAGGTAAGGACTCTACTCAATTGGAAGAAATACATTGTCCAGCTTGTTTTTGATTTGGCTGATTGCGTGATTGCAAACAAGCACTGAAATTACAGTCCCATGCATAGCCCTGAAAGTGAAAGCTGCTTTTTGCTGTGATGCTTTCATGGTCTTTAGGATCCATTTAACCAGTTGGTGTCCATTGGTTTGGCTTTCCCATTGCTGTTGTAAACCCTATTGGTGATCTGCAGTTTGGTCATTCACACTTCCCTGTGGCTTCCACCCAGGAGTAGCCTCTGTATCAGTTGGTGGGTCAGCCGAGTGAGAAATGTTTATGGAGGTTGTGTTACACAGGACATCTCTCCCTTGCAGGGCTTCTTCAGGAGAAGCATTCAGCAGAACATCCAGTACAAGAAGTGCCTCAAGAATGAGAACTGCACTATCATGCGAATCAACAGAAACCGTTGTCAGCAGTGCCGCTTTAAGAAGTGTCTTGCTGTTGGCATGTCCAGGGATGGTGAGTCTTATTTCTTTCCCTTCTGTTTTCCATTTAATGTACATATTTTAAGGAATTAACTGCTGCTTTACTGAGTTTTTATGCAACCTCTTGCAGTCATTGGATGAAGCAGTGGAAATGTACCTTAATACTCCATACTAGCTGGACTCAGGCTTCAGTATGTTTATTTGGGCAGAAGGCTGTGGACTTCAACTACAATAAAATACTTGAGTTCATAACTTAGCTTGAAACTTCAAGGCAGCGTGGAGGAAGAACTTCATTGTTAGGGATGCTGTCTTTGAGACTTTTTTTATTTGTTCACACATGTAGAGGAGGAAATGGCTACTGCTGTTATGGCTGGACTGTAATCCAGAGACTTAGGTAATGTCCTGGGGACCTGGATTCGAATCCCACGATGGTGTATGCTGGAATTTGAATTCAATAAAAATGAATTAAGTGTCTAATGATGACCATAAATCTATTGTTGATTGTTGGAAAAACCCATCTGGTTCACTAATGCCATCTTTACATGGTCTAGCCTACATGTGACTCCAGATCTCCAGCAATGTGGTTGACTCTTAACTACCCTCTGGGCAATGATGCCCTCATCCTGTGAGTGAATAAAAGAAAGTAGATGTCACTGATTGGGCCAGCATTTAATACCTACTTTTTATTTCTCTTCGGAAGGTGCTAGCCAGTGGCCTTCTTGAACTGCTGTAGTCCATGGGAAATACTACCAGCTGTGTGTGCTGTTGGAAAATGAGTTCCAGGATTTTGACCCAGCAATAGCGATGGAATGGTGATAGAGTTCCAAGCAGGGTGGTATGGGTATTAGAGGGGAACTTGCAGCTGGTGGTATTTCCATGCTGTCCTTGTCCTTCTAGATGGTAAAAGTCATGGGTTTGGAAGGTGCTGTTGTAGGTAAGGTGTTGAACATTTCTGTTCCTTAACCTGGACTGAATGATCCCATGACACTATGTGAAGCAGAGTAAGGAAGCTCCCTCAGTCCCTTGGCCAACTTTTATCCATCAACCAAAACCCATCAAACCCAAATTATCCGATTATTTGTGTCATTGCTATTTCTGTGAATTTACGTCCATGTACAAATTGCTCTTCAGAGTCTATTTAATTGGCTGTAAGCCACTTTGGGATGTGTAAAAGTTGCTAAAAACATACAGGCTATTTCTTTCTCTTTGAGTTTTATTTTCTCTTTAGTTTGTCCCATATAAGAATATTTCGATGAGTGGTCTGCTATGGTTCAGATTGAGAACTAATAAAAATTCATTGTTAGAATGGTCAGCAGCACTGGGATTCAGCAGAAATTGATGGGCCACCTTAATTTTCTTTCATAAAGGAATACATATATGTTTTTGCCTCAGAGAGAAGTCCTGTCTCTTTCCATGTGCAAGGACACAGTTTTATGCATAATACTGAGGCTGAAACTGTTCCTAGTGTAGCCGTGTAATTCTCCCTTTTGTCATTGAGTCTACATGTTCGATGCTGAATGGCAGTGCTGAATGCATAGATTCAATAAGATTTCATTTTTCCGATTCCCCCTTTCTCCTTAACTTTTCGCTTTGTCAATTTAAGCCACCGTCACAATTGGAATTTCCTGCCTCAGATAATTCTGTAGGCCTGAAGGTTGAGTGGTGAGAAAGTAACACCTTGACAAGAATAAGCCAAGCACCTAATTTGCAAACTTAATTTTAATACCACAATTGGCTTTTCATTTTAATCACTTACTTGTATTTACTGTGTGCAAGTTGAGAAGTTCATGCTCCAACATGTACGCTCTAATGGTCTCAAGTTGAGCTGTAATGAATGATTTTTATTAACTTCTTTGATTCCTTGAAGGTAGTCCAGTTCACCACCAGATTATACATAGTCTCCCACTGAAGGCTGGAGGAGAATCTGTGTGCTGTATGTTGTTGGGTTGATTGGATTCAACATGGGTAACAGAAGTACCAAGAGATATCATGAACCGTGAAGAAACAAGCTCAATAAAGGGTAATGTGTTATTTTGTTTTTCCCCTAGCTGTGCGTTTTGGGCGCATTCCCAAGAGGGAGAAGCAGCGGATGCTGGCAGAAATGCAGAGTGCCATGAATAATATGGTGAACAACCAACTGAATGGCGAGCTACAGAATGATATCCAGCCCCAGCAGCAAAACTGGCAACACCAGCCTCCACTGGCAGCTCCTGCCCACCCACCCCAGCAGGAGCGGTCATCCCCCAGTCTCCATCCCCAGCAGCAACACAACCCACAGCAGTTATACTGTCCCAGCACCGAAACCTCGATGGAAGAGGTCATTTATTCTATTTCCAGGGCACATAAGGAGACCTTCACTTATGCCCATGACAAATTAAAGCAAACGACCACTGCCTGCCGACACAACGGTGAGCTGATGAACCACAATGCCAATTGCTGCCGGAATGGGTACCACGTCAACGGAATGAATACCATCTATCACCAGGAGAACAACATTTTCCATAAAACCAATAACAGTGGACTAAAGAAGATGTGCTACCCATCTTCTTTCTCAAATGGTCACACTAATGGACACATTAGTGGACACTACCAAAACCAGACCAACGGAAACAAATTACACACTAGAAACTCGTATAGTGCCAATGGCGAGATAGAGACTGGCAACGGGAGGACCTGCCCATGGAAAGGAGCAAACAATGTTATCCTGGTATGACATCGCACAACTTATACTATGATGTTGTGAAACATGGCAGGCATTTCAAAGTTTTCTTTGAGCAAAAAACCCCATTACATACGTTTGTAGATAATAAATGGTTCTCTCTCTAACAAACCAAGCGCTGACATCGAATATGAAATTGACATCTTCAGAGAGATACAATCATGTGTACTAGGATGAAACAGCCTTCATAAATAATGGAAATGTGTAGTTGCACAATGATAAAATAAACAGGGAAACCTGTTTAAAAGCCCCTCAAGAACTCTTAAAACTAAATTAACAGAACAGGAATATTCCACAAGCCCATCCTTTCTTTACGGATCACACTGATCCAGCTACTAATTTGCATTTGCGCATATTCTTTAATTATTTTACCAAAAACATCTGTTTCCAACGAGCCATTCAATATTGTGTCTTTCAGTTAACCTTCCTAAAGTACAAACCCTTTTAAGGGAAGACTGAATTCAATTTTGCTTTTCAAAAAAGAGTCTGTATTTTAGAAAAATGTAGTTAGGACATTGTCCAACTAGAGAGATAGAGATAACTGGTAATGGTTTATCCTGAGGGTCACTATGCCTCAAGCAAGGAGAGATGGTGCAAAGTAGAGTCCTTTATGGTAACCACAGCCAGAATAGGAATTGAACCCACACTGTTAGTATTATTCTGCAGTGTAAGTAGCTATCCAGGTAACTGAGCTAACCAACCTCCCTTAAAGTTGCTGTAGTCCTAGAGAGACCAGTGGTGGTGGTTTCCCTGAACTTATAGATTTGAGAAATGAACCTGATGTTGACATAAGAGTTACTTCACATCCATGTTGGAAACACCTCAGAAGCCTTATTTTGATTTTATATTCCATTTCTCTTTTTCAGCAGCATATTATTTCCTGCAAAATAACTTTAATTTGTTCCATAATTATTCAGTGCAAAGTCATGGAATAATATTGACACAAATGGAGGGCGTATGGCCCTTTGGGTCCATGCAGGCTCACAGTAGAACAATCCAGTCAGACCCATACCCCTCCCCTGCTTTATTCTTACACCTCTGAAAATTTACTGCTCTGCCTGGGGAGGTGATGGCCTAATGGTATTATTGCTGGACCCTTAATCCAGAGACCCAGATGATGTTCTGGGGGCCCACATTTGAATCCTGCTACAGCAGATGGTGGGATTTGAATTCAAAAAAATATCTGGAATTACGAATCTAATGATGACTGTGAATCATTTGTTGGAAAAACCCATCTGGTTCACTAATGTCCTTTAGGGAAGGAAACTGCCATCCTTACCTGGTCTGGCCTACATGTAACTCCAGACCCACAGCAATGTGGTTGACTCTTAACTGCCCTCCGGGCAATTAGGGATGGGCAATAAATGCTGCCTAGCCAGCGATGTCCTTACCCTGTGAATGAATAAAGAATAGGTGCACACAACAAGTTGAAGTTTGTATTTAGTTATTTGATTCTCTTGTTCCCGAGATAACAAATCCCTTTTGTTTTGAATATTTTTCCTTAAGCGACAATAAATGGGAAACCCAACTCTAATCCCAACTCTATCAAAACCTTGCTTCTTTTAATGAATGTAATGGCAACATTGAAGCATTAATTTCAGAAGCTCTGATCAATGTGATGTAGTTTTTAGCTTATTCACTGAATTTCATTATTCTCACTGGCTCAATCTGTAGATAATACATGATGGCCATAAATAACAGTTGAGTGCAGTTGCTCCCTAGGCTTGGAGACAGCTGTTTTTTTTATTAACACATGGGATGTGGCCATCACTGGCTGAGGCAGCATTTATTGCTCATCCCTAGTTTCCCTTGAGTAGGTGGTAGTGAGCTGTCTTCTTGAATCTCTGCAGTCCATACCTTAGCAATTGTCCAGTTACGCTCTGAACACTTGTCAGGTAGAATATTGATTCTTCTAAAGCATAATGGTGGTTTTAGATGGAAAAGTGCTTAAAATTACAATTATTTTGATTTAAGAGAAATGCGTTCTAATCTGTTTGTTGTTTTGACAAATCTTTGGTCGGTGATTTTAGCATAATCACTTGAACAATAATTCTAGGGATGGAATGACATTCTTCTGTTACTTATGTTTTCTGGAATGTTCCGTTTCTCCATGTTGTTCAGTCATACGAGAATCCATTCAGGAACTGCAAGCATGGTACAGAGAGAATAACCTCCATTTTACAACCATTCATGAAATAAAATGAACTTGCCTCTGGAGGGTTTTGGCATTAGATCAAGGGCTTGCTGCACGGTTCTGAACACGCAAAGTAAATTCCCACTGGTGCCTGATATATTCCCAGTAACTTTGTGCTATCAGCCAGCCAATTAACAGACATGCAGCATGGAAGGAGACTGCTCCAGCTCTAAGCGACAGAACACTCACTGTCCCGCTCACTATGTTGTAAGCCTGTCTTGGCTTGACAGTGGCATTGTGGTTAGTTGGTCAACCTCTTGCACTGAGACTGTGTCAGAGAGTGTTCAAAGAAGTGAGCCCTAGTGATGGGCTGGAAATGTCAAGATAAAGTAAGTGCCACATTTGTTTCTCACCCCAATAGGCCTGCCCAATGAACATTCGGCCACATGTAGATGGCAGTCGATCTGTGCAACAGATCTGGGAGGACTTTTCCTTGAGCTTCACACCAGCTGTCAAAGAAGTGGTTGAGTTTGCAAAGCTCATTCCTGGTTTCAAGGACCTTTCCCAGCATGACCAGGTCATTCTGCTGAAAGCTGGCACCTTTGAGGTAAGTAACAGGATTCAAAGATCTATGTTTGAGGTGAATGCTATTTGTAATTGTGAAAAGGTAGATAACAGAGGTTAGGTAGATTCCAACTCAAATCTCCAGTTTGAGAAAGGGTCTTATCACCGAGCTTGGGAAAGCACAAATTAATCAGCTACTCAACTTAGTTTACTCCACTCAAGAATAAAGACAATGGCAGTAATTGAGCAGGGTCAGTTTTGGGTCCATTCAGCAGTTTGCTTGAGCTGGAGTTTTATTTCAGTTATCCATTCTTTCGGGTAATGGGATTCTCCACACTGTTATGAATTTGGAATCACACTGAATTGTGCTAGTAGGATAAACATTAACCATGGACAGTATTGAAATGATGTTGGGATATGTACTATCAGGGCTCGCGCCTGAATCAGATATCCCTCTGATATGGTCTGCAACAGTTGGCAGTAGCATTGCTATGGTAACTCAGGCTATATGCAAACTGATGTCCCAGTATATTAATGTTCCATGGCTTTTAGAAGGATGAGCTCATTGAAGCGTACCAAGGTTTTGAAGGGAAGCTGAAAGAACTGCGGATGCTGTAAATTAGAAACAAAATTAGATATTGCTGGAAAAGCTCAGTCGGTCTGGCAGCATCTGTGGAGAGAAATTAGAGTTAACGTTTTGGGTCCCACATGGCACCAGTGACTAAGACCAATGCCAATAGGAAGGATCGATGACAGTGGATCTTCCAAGGGCATTCCAGACAGTTCAGGCACACAACTATGACATTAGCCGACCTGACAAGTTTATGCCTGGTGCATGGCAACTTAGCGACTCTCTGTCCCAACCAAAAACCAGCTGAAACGACAGGTAAATTTAAAAGAAGAGTTAAAAACCAGGTCAATTCAGGGTACAAATGGAAAATTTCTTGGAAGTTCCTGTCCGACTCTGTGATCGTTCTGCCCTGCCCTCCTTAGGAAGGGTCACTCGACCTGAAACGTTAACACTGATTTCTCTCTACAGTTGCTGCCAGACCTGCTGAGTTTTTCCAGCAATTTCTGTTTCAGTTTAAAGTTCTGAAAGGGTTTGACAGGGTAGACACTGAGATAGTTTCCACTGGCAGGGGATCTAAAACATGGGGTCACCTTGTCAGGATAAGAGGCTGATCATTTAAGACTGAGATGAAGAGAAAGCGCTTCCTTCAAAGGGTTGTGAATCCTTGGAATTCTGTACCCAACAGAGTTGAGGATGCACTATTTTTGAATATATTTAGGGCTGAGATAATCCAATTTTTTGTTTCTCAAGGAATCAAGGGAAATGAGGAGTAGGCAGGAAAGTGGAGTTGAAGAAAGTCATGATTGTGTTGAATGGCACAGCAGGCCCAGTGGGCTGAATAGCCTCCTCCTCCTCCTGTTTCTTGTGTTAGTACACATGCTCTCGGGCACAGGATCCTGACCAGCAATTCTCAGGAACTAGGAAGGGGCAGAGGGAAAACCTGAGCAATGCCTTGTACCCAGAGCACAAAGCGGGGTAATAGGAGGAATGGAGTTGAGTGACAAAGCAGGAAAGCAAGGAGCAAGATTAATGTTAACTGAGGACATGTTCTGATGTAAAGGGGTCCAAAGCAACTTCTCATGTAAGGGGATAAATTCTCAGGCAAGCGGAATCATTAGAAGGGCAGAGATAACAAGGTGTAGAGCTGGATGAACACAGCAGGCCAAGCAGCGTCAGAGGAGCAGGAAAGCTGACGTTTCTAGGCCCGAAACATCAGCTTTCCTGCTCCTCTGATGCTGCTTG